ACGATCAAGTAGGCTTCATCATGGGGATGCAAGTCTGGTTTAACATACACAAGTGTATAAATGTAACCCACCACATAAACAGAACCAAAGACAGACCACGCGATTGTCTCAATAGATGCAGAAAAGACCTTTGACAAAATTCAACAGCCCCTCATGCTAAAAACTCTCAATAAACTAGGTATCAATGGAACATATCTCAAAATAATGAAACCTATCTATGACAAACCCACAGCAAATATACTGAATGGGCAAAAAATGGAAACATTCCCTTTGAAATCTGGCCCTAGACAAGGGTGCCCTCTCTCACCACTCCTATTCAACATGGTATTGGAAGTTCTAGCCAGAGCAATCAGGCAAGAAAAAGAAAGAAAGGGTATTCAATTAGGAAAGGAGGAAGTCAAATTGTCTCTATTTGCAAACAACATGATTGTATATGTAGAAGACCCCATCGTCTTAACCCCAAATCTCCTGAAACTGAAAAGCAACTTCAGCAGAGTCTCAGGATACAAAGTCAATGTGCAGAGATTCCAAGCATTCCTATACACCAATAACACTCTAAAACAGTGCCAAATCAAGGGTGAATTCCCATTCACAATTGATACAAAGAGAATAAAATACCTAGGAATACAACTAACAAAGGATGTAAAGGATCTCTTCAAGGAGAAATACAAACCACTGGTGAATGAAGTAAGAGAGGACACAAACAGATGGAAAAACATTCCATGCTCATGTTTAGGAAGAATAAATATTGTGAAAATGACCATACTGCCCAAAGTAATTCATAAAGTCAATGCTATCCCCATCAAGCTACCTATACCCTCTTCACATAACTGGAAAAAAAACACCTTAAAATTCTTATGGAACCAAAAGAGAACCCGCATAGCCAAGACAATTCTAAGCAAAAAGAACAAAGCTGGAGGTATCATGCTACCTGACTTCAAACTATACTACAAGGCTGCAGCAATTGAAGCAGCATGGTACCTGTATCAAAACAGAGATATAGATCAATTAAATAGAACAGAGGCCTTGGAGGCAATCTACATCTACAACCATATGATCTTTGACAAACCTGACAAAAACAAGCAATGGGGAAAGGATTCCCTGTTTAATAAATGGTGTTGGCAAAACTGGCTAGCCATGTGCAGAAAGCAGAAACTGGTCCCCTGCCTGACACCTTACACTAAAATTAACTTCAGATGGACTAAAGAGTTAACGGAAGACCGAACACCATAAAAACCCTAGAAGAAAACCTAGGGAAAATCATTCAGGTCATAGGCATAGGCAAGGACTTCATGACTGAAACACCAAAAGCATTGGCAACAAAAACCTAAATAGACAAATGGGATCTAATTAAACTCCAGGGCTTCTGTACAGCAAAGGAAACAATCATTAGAGTGAACTGGCAACTAACAGAATGGAAAAAAATTTTTGCAATCTACCTATCTGACACAAGGCTAATATCCAGAATCTATGAAGAAGTAAAACAGATTTACAAGAAACAAACAAATCCAGTCAAAAGTGGGCACAGATACGAACAGACACTTTTCAAAAGAAGACATATATGAGGCCAACAAGCATATGAAAAAATACTCATTGTCACTGATCATTAGCGAAATGCAATTCAAAACCATGTTGAGATACCATCTCATGTCAGTTAGAATGACTATAATTTAAAAATCTGGAGACAACAGATGTCGGAGAGGATGTGGAGAAATAGGAACACTTTTACCCTGTTGTTGGGAGTGTAAATTAGTTCAACCATTGTGGAAGACAGTGTGGCAATTCCTGAAGGACCTACACATAGAAATTCCATTTGACCCAGCAATCCCATTACTGGGTATATACCCAAAGGATTATAAGTCATTCTATTATAAAGACGCATGCACACATATGTTCATTGTGGCATTGTTTACAATAGCAAAGATATGGAACCAACCCAGATGCTCGTCAATGATAGTCTGGACAAGGAAAATGTGGCACATATACACCATGGAATACTATGCAGTTATAAATGATGATGAGTTCATGTCCTTTGTAGGGACATGGATGAATCTGGAAACCATCATTTTCATCAAACTGACACAAGAATAGAAAATCAAATGCTGGATGTTCTCCCTCATAGGCTAGTTTTGAACAATAAGAATCCATGGACACAAGGAGGGGAGCGTCACACACTGAGGTCTGTTGAAGGGGACTTCAGGAGGGACAGCAGGGCGTGGGGAGGTTTGGGAGGGATAACATGGGGAGAAATGCCAAATATAGGTCACGGGGTGGGGGGATGGAGGCAGCAAACCACATTGCCATGTATATACCTAAGCAACAATTCTGTATTATCTGTACATGTAACCCAGAACCTAAAGTACAATATATATATATATATATATATATATATATATATATATTTTAATGGAAAAAGAAGAATGTATTAGCTTCCCTGAAATTACTCTTTTGAAGTATAATCAACCTCTGAGTTGCCGACATTCTTATATTGCTTTCATTTTCTTTACCAGCACACTTAAAATTTTAGTTCCTTTATTAGCTAGCCTCAGTTAGAGTATTTATGCATACATTATGAACAATTCCTTCAATCAATGAGGTCTCTTTTCCTTTAAAATCAGACTTCATTTGAGAACTGTCTTTTTGCTAAAAATTGCTGTATTTTCCTTCCAGGCATATTTCAAATCGTCCTTTATATTTCAGGAACCTCAGTCAGAATGCCTTCTTTAATGTTCACATAACTTGCTAAATCAAAATAATTTCCCCATGTTGCTGTTACATTAACTTAGCAGTTCATTCCTTTCACATGAAAATTGGTGTATTCAAGTCTGTTACCCTCACATGACCACAGTTGATATATTTCCCTAATTAATAAAGTAAAATTACTGCATCTCTCTGAAGTTTTGTAGAGTCTTCTCTAGTCTTTAGGACCTGTTAGAATGTCCCTTTTTGCTAAAGGAAAGAAATTAAATGGGAGGTGGGAGAGGGATGGAAAGAGTGGCCTCTTGTCTCCAGTGATCTACTGCAGGGCTCTATACCTGACTGTTCCATCTAATTCAATCAGCTTTCCAGTATTCCCTGAGTACCTCCTATGTGCTGGGTTTTGTGTTGAATTGAAAGGATAAGTAAGAAATCATTCTCCCAGAAGGCATTGGAGTTAGATGTGGATTCAAATTCTGATTCTACTGTTCACTGGCAGGTGGCCTGAGTCAGCTGTTTGATCTCTCTGATTCTTAATTTCCATATCTGTGCATAATTCCTATATAACATAGCTGTTGAAAACATTTTGTATATTTTTTCTGTTATACTTTACATTGTATATACACATAATATATCTGTGTATCATATACACATATTTGTGTAAATTTACAAGTATATACACGTATTTATGTATACATGTATGTATATATACATATATATTTCATATATAATGTTATAAAAACTATATTATGTAGGACTCATACACATATATAATATGTAATAGGTGATCAAATAAGTGTTTGTTCCTTTTGGATAATGTTATGACCTACTTGTAATTAGATAACATTTCTTCCTCTTTTTGCCTCCCCAAACACACAAAATGGCTGTTATATGGCCTATTGATTTTCTGAATGGATTAAAATTTACTGTGTTTTAAGACAAAAATAAAATTTACCTAGACTGATGTCCTGAAGCATTTCACCAATGTGGTTTTTCTAGTAGTTTCATAGTTTCAAGTCTTATATTTAACTCTTTAATCAATTTTGATATGATTTTTGTGTATGGTGAGACATACGGGTGTAATTTCTTTCTTCTGCATATGGTTACCCAGCACAATTCTTTTATTTTTTATTTTTTTAGAGTCAACATCTGGATCTGTCACCCAGACAGGAGTGCAGTGACACAGTTACCACTCACAATAGCCCCAAACAATCCTCCCACCTCATCCTCCCAAACAGCTGGGACTACAGGCATGCACCACCATGACTGGCTCACCATTTATTGAGATTGTCCTTTGGTCATTGTATGTTCTTGGTGCCTTTTTGAAATTGAGTTGGCTATAAATGTCGGAATTTGTATATGTGTCTTCTATTTCTTCCATTGGTCTATGTGTCTGTTTCTATACCAGTATCATGCTGATTTGGCTATTATAGCTTTGTGGTATAGTTTGAAGTCAGATAATGCCATGCCTTCAGCTTTGTTCCTTTTGCTCAGGATTTTTTTTTTTTTTTTTTGCTATTTGAGGTTTTTTTGTGGTTACTTACCAATTTTAGTACTGTTTCTTTTATTTCTGTGAAGAATGTCACTGGTATTTTGTCATTGGTATAGTGACTTTGTGTGTTGCTTTGGATAGTAGGAACGTTTTGATAACATTAATTCTTTCCATTCATGAGCCTGGAATATCTTTCCTTTTTTGTGTGTGTGCGCTTCAATTTCTTTCATTGGTGTTTTATAGTTTTTCTTGTATAGATCTTTCCCTTCTTAATTAAATTGATTTCTAGGTATTTTACATTCTTTGTAGCTATTGTAAATAGGATTGTTTTCTTGATTTCTTTTTCAGATTGTCATTTGCCTATATAAATGCTACTAATTTTTGCATGCCGATTTTGTATCCTGCAACTTTACTGAATTTATTGATCAATTCTAGCAGTTCTTTGGTGGAATCTTTAGGTTTTTGCAAGTATAAGATTATGTCATCTGCAAGCAAGGCTAATTTGACTTCTTCCTTTCCAATTTGGATACCCTTTATTTCTTTCACTTGTCTAATTCTTCTGGCAAGGACTTCCAGTATTATGTTGAATAGAAGTAGGTGAAAGTGGACATCTCTGTCTTGTTCCAGATCTTAAAGGAAAGGCTTTTAATTCCCCCCATTTCATGCATTGATATCTGTGATTTTGTTACATATGGCCTTAGTTGTTTTGGGAACCTGTGAGCAGCGAGATCCAGGGACAGAGTCTCAGCCTTGCCGCTGTAGCTGCCGCCGCCCAGAGACTGCTGAGCCCCTGTCCGTCCTGCTGCCACCACCCACTCTGGACTCAGAACATTCAGTCATGGATAAAAATGAGCTGGTTAAGAAGGCCAAACTGGCCAAGCAGGCTGAGCGATATGATGACATGGCAGCCTGCATGAAGTCTGTAACAGAGCAAGGAGCTGAATTATCCAATGAGGAGAGGAATCTGCTCTCAGTTGCTTATAAAAATGTTGTAGGAACTCGTAGGTCATCTTGGAGGGTCATCTCAAGTATTGAACAAAAGACGGAAGGTGCTGAGAAAAAACAGCAGATGGCTCGAGAATACAGAGAGAAAATTGAAACGGAGCTAAGAGATATCTCCAATGATGTACTGTCTCTCTTGGAAAAGTTCTTGATCTCCAGTGCTTCACAAGCAGAGAGCAAAGTCTTCTATTTGAAAATGAAAGGAGATTACTACCGTTATTTGGCTGAGGTTGCCGCTGGTGATGACAAGAAAGGGATTGTGGATCAGTCACAACAAGCATACCAAGAAGCTTTTGAAATTAGCAAAAAGGAAATCCAACCAACACATCCTATCAGACTGGGTCTGGCCCTTAACTTCTCTGTGTTCTGTATGAGATTCTGAACTCCCCAGAGAAAGCCTGCTCTCTTGCAAAGACAGCTTTTGATGAAGCGATTGCTGAACTTGATACATTAAGAGTCATACAAAGACAGCACGCTAATAATGCAATTACTGAGAGACAACTTAACATTCTGGACATCGGATACCCAAGGAGATGAAGCTGAAGCAGGAGAAGGAGGGGAAAATTAACCGGCCTTCCAACTTTTGTCTGCCTCATTCTAAAATTTACACAGTAGACCATTTGTCATCCATGCTGTCCCACAAATAGTTTTTTGTTTACGTTTTGTGACAGGTTTATGTTACTTCTATTTGAATTTCTATATTTCCCATGTGGTTTTTTAATATTAGGGGAGTAGAGCCAGTTAACATTTAGGGAATTAATCTGTTCTCATCTTGAGGTGGCCAACATGGGGATGTGGAATTTTTATACAAGTTATAAATGTTTGGCATAGTACTTTTGGTACATTGTGGCTTCACAAGGGCCAGTGTTAAAACTGCTTCCATGTCTAAGCAAAGAAAACTGCCTACATATTGGTTTTTCCTGGTGGGGGATAAAAGGAATCATTGGTTCCAGTCACAGGTGTAGTAATTGTGGGTATTTGAGGGTTTGGAGCACTTACAAGGCTGTGGTAGAAACAAATATCCCATGGATACCACATATTAAACCATGTCTATCTGTGGAATACTCAGTCTCAATGTTCACACCTTTGACTACAGCTGCAGAAGTGTTCCTTTAGACAAAGTTGTGACCCATTTTACTCTGGATAAGGGTAGAAATGGTTCACATTCCATTATTTGTAAAGTTACCTGCTGATAGCTTTCATTATTTTTGCTACACTCATTTTATTTGTATTTAAATGTTTTAGGCAACCTAAGAACAAATGTAAAAGTAAAGATGCAGTAAAAATGAATTGCTTGGTACTCATTAATTTGTGTATATCAAGCGCAGCAGTAAAACAAAAACCCATGTATTTAACTTTTTTTCTTAGGTTTTTTTGCTTTTGTGATTTTTTTTTTTTTTTTTTGATACTTGCCTAACATGCATGTGCTGTAAAAATAGTTAACAGGGAAATAACTTAAGATGATAGCTAGCTTTGTTTAATGTCTTATGAAATTTTCATGAACAATCCAAGCATAATTGTTATGAATTTAAGTGTATTAAATTCATGTAAGTGGAATAAAAGTTTTATGAATGGACTTTTCAACTACTTTCTCTACCGATTATGTAAATTAGTCTTTTGGTTCTGAAACTTCTCTAAAGGAAATTGTACATTTTTTTGAAATTTATTCCTTATTCCCTCTTGGCAGCTAATGGGCTTTTACCAAGTTTAAACACAAAGTTTATCATAACAACAACACAAATACTACTGCTATAAGTACTGTTTCCACCTGTGTCCTGTGATCCCCTCTCTTCCTCCCCACCCTGAAAAAAATGAGTTCCTATTTTTTTCTGAGAGAGGGGGAGATTGATTAGGGGAAAAAAAAGTAATATGTTCCATTTAAGATTTTGGTATATGGCATTTTCTAACTTAGGAAGCCACAATGTTCTTGGCCCATCATGACATCGGGTAGCATTAACTATAAGTTTTGTGCTTCCAAATCACTTTTTGGTTTAAGAATTTCTTGATACTCTTGTAGCCTGCTTTCGACTTTGATCCTTTATTCTTTCTATTTGTCACAAGATTACCTTCCTTTTTTAGCCATCTGTCTTGACACCAACCATTCCTATTTGGTGGCCATGTATTTGGAAAAAGGCTGCATGATCTTTCTGGCTACACTCAATGTCTAAGATACCCTGCTTCCTTTGCTTGCATCCCACAAACTATTTCCCTCATCCTATTTACTGCAACAAATCTCTCCTTAGTTGACGAGATGGTGTTTATCTCCCTTTAAAACCCTACCTATCCTGAATGTCATTGTCCACTTTAAAAATCTTTCTTTTTCTCTTCCTCTATTCTCTAAATAATGATGGGGCTAAGTTATACCCAAAGCTCACTCTTACAAACTATTTCCTCAGTACTTTGCAGAAAACACCAAACAAAAATGCCATTTGAAAAGAGGTGTATTTTTTCTTTTAGAATGTAAGCTCCTCAAGAGCAGGGACAATGTTTTCTGTATGTTCTATTGTGCCTAGTACACTGTAAATGCTCAATAAATATTGATGATGGGAAAAAAAAGATTTCCTTGGCTAGTCTAGGTCTCTTGTGGTACTGTATGCAGTTGTTTTTTTTTTCTGTGAAAAATTTCACTGGAATTCGATAGGGATTACACTGAATCTGTAGAACACTTTGGTTATATGATGTTGTAACAATATTAATTCTTCTAATTCATGAACACAAGATATCTTTCCTTTTTTTTTTTTTTTTTTTTTTTGTTGAGATGGAGTTTCGCTCTTGTTACCCAGGCTGGAGTGCAATGGTGCGATCTCGGCTCACCACAACCTCCGCCTCCTGCTTTCAGGCAATTCTCCTGCCTCAGCCTCCTGAGTAGCTGGGATTACAGGCACGCACCACCATGCCCAGCTAATTTTTTGTATTTTTAGTAGAGTTGGGGTTTCACCATGTTGACCAGGATGGTCTCGATCTCTTGACCTCGTGATCCACCCACCTTGGCCTCCCAAAATGCTGGGATTACAGGCTTGAGCCATCGCGCCCGGCCTGATACCTTTCTATTGATTTTTTTATCTTCAGTTTATTTTATAGGCATTTTATAATTTTTATCTTCTTTAGTTTATTTTATAGGTATTTTATAATTTTCAGTGTATAGATTTTATCTTCTTGGTAAGATTTGTTACTAAATATTTTATTTTTTGATGTTATTATAAAGGTATTATTTTCTTAATTTCTATTTCTGAGTGAGTTCATTGTCACTGTATAGGAATATAGCTAATTTTTGTATGTTCATTTTGTATTCTGCAACTTTACTGAATTTGTGTATTAGTTCTAACAGTTATTTCATTGAGTCTTTAGGATTTTCTATGTATATGATTATGTCATAAGCAAAGAGGCTATTTTAGGAAGGTAGCAAATTAGGCTACCTTCCTAATTTGTATGCCTTTAATTTCTTTGTCTTGCCTAATTCCTCTGAGTTGGGGTTTCAACATTATGTTGAATAAAAATGGTGAGTCATCATCTTTGTTTTATTCCTGTTAATGGAGAAAACACTTTTGTCTTTTTAACCATTGAGTATGATATTGGCTTTGTCATATGTGTTCTTTATTGTGTTGAGGTGCGTTCCTTCTACACCTAATTTGTTGAGAGTTTTCATCATGAAAAGACATTGAATTTTATGTTTTTCTTTTTATTCTTCATTCTGTTAATGTGATTTATAATACTTATTGATATGTGTATGTTGAACTATCCTTGCACCCCTGGATAAGTCTTACTTGATCATAGTGAATGATCTTTTTAATCATTCTTTTGCTGAATTCCATTTGCTAGTATTTTGCTGAGAAATTTAAAACAGTATTCTCCAGGGATATTGGTCTGTAATTTTCTTTTTTTGGTATTGCCCTTGTGTCGCTTTGGTATCAGAGTAATGCTGGCCCGACACAATGAATTTGGAAATGTTCCCTCCACTTCAATTTTCTTGGAAGAGTTTGACAAAAATTGGCATGTATCTTTTAAAATTTTGATATAATTAATGAGTGAAGCCATCAAGTCCTGGGCTTTTCTTTCTTCAGATAATTTTGACTACTGATTTAATCTCCTTACTCATTTCTCTGTTTATATTTTCTATTTCTTGTAATTCAGTTTTGGTTGGTTGTATGTTTCCAACAATTTAATTCTTTCTGCTAGCTTGTCCAGTTGGTTGGTATATGGTCGTTCATAGTAGTCTCTTGTGATCCATTCTTTCCTTTACTTTCCCCTTCCTTCCTTTTTTCCTTCCTTCCTTCCTCCTTCCCTCCCTCCCTATATCTCTCCCTCTTTTCTTTTTCTTTTCTTTCTTTTTCTTTCTCACTATCTCTTTCTCCCTCTCTCTTCCTTTCTATTTCTTGTCCTTCTGTTTTTTCTCTTTGTTTTTTTTGTTTGTTTGTTTGTTTGTTTTTGTGTTTGTTTTTTTGAGACAAGGTCTTGCTCTGTTTCCCAGGCTGGAGTGCAGTGGTGCAGTCAGGGCTCACTGCAGCTTTTCCCTCCTAGGCTCAAGCAATCTTCCTGTCTCAGTCTCCTGAGTAGCGGGGACTACAGGCACATTTCACCATGTCTGACTAATTTTTTACATTTTAAATTTTGTAGAGACGGGATTCCACTATGTTGCCTAAGCTGGTCTTGGACCCTTAGGCTTAGGTGATCCTCATACTTCACCTCCCGAAGTGTTAGGATTGCAGTTGTTAGCCACCATGCTCTGCAATCATTTATATTTCTTTTCTTTCAGTTGTATTGTACCTTTTTTAATTTAAAATTTTATTTATTTGAGTCTTCTCTCTCTTTTCCCTAGTGAATCTAAAGGTTTGTCAATTTTGCTCATCATTTCAAAAAACCTCTTAATTTTATTGATCTCTTATTTTTTTAGTCATTATTTTGTTTATTTTGGTTCTGATCTTTATTATTTCTTTCCTTCTGCTAAATTTGGTGTTCATTTGTTTTTCTTTTCTAGTTCTTTGAGAATGAAAGTTAGCTTTTTTATTTAAAATATGTTTTTTTCCTAAATGTAGCTATTTATCAGTATAAACTTCTCTCTTAGTGCTGCTTTCACTGCATGTTCTACGTTTTGGTATATGTCGTGTTTCCATTTTTCTTTCACTCAAGATATTTTAAAACATTTCTGTTGTGGTGTTTTTTGGCCATTTTTTTCAGGAAGGTATTGGTTGATTTCTACATATTTGTGTACTTTCCAATTTTTCTTTTATTATTGATTTCTGCTTTCATATCCTTATGGGGTACTTAATATAATTCCAGTTTTCTTAAAATTTTCATGACTTACTTTCTGGACTAACAGATGATCTATACTGGATTAAAAGAATTTTGTGTGTGCTTGAGAAGAATGTGTCTTCTGCTACTGTTGGATGGAATATATGCATATACCTATTAGGTATATTTGGTCTACTTAATATGATTTTAGTTTTCTTAAAACTCTCAATACTTATTTTCTGGACTAACAGATTATCTATTTTGGACAAATTTCAGCTGCTGTATATCTTTTGATTGGAGAGTTTAGTCCATTTGCATTTAAAGAAATTATTGATAGGTAAGGACTTACTAATGCTATGTGTTAGTTGTTTTGAATTTTTTTAAATTATTATTATACTTTAAGTTCTGGGATACATGTGTAGAAT